TGCCCCGTGGGGACCCGTCGGGGTGGAAGGTGGCTGCAGTGCCCCATGGGGACCCGTCGGGGTGGAAGGTGGCTGCAGTGCCTCATGGGGGGACCTGTCGGGGTGGAAGGTGGCTGCCGTGCCCCACGGGGACCTGTTGGGGTGGAAGGTGGCTGCCGTGCCGTGGCTGCACGAGGAAGCCTTGTCCTCTCCTCCAGATGGAGGTGGCTGGTCCTGAGCTCTAGTCACTCACCTCCTCCTGTGTCCCAGCGTGGCCCAGCACCAGCGCCGTGTGATTCACTGGCACTTTTGGGCCTAAAGATGACATTAGAGGAAATGTTTCTGAATAACCCTGTCAACATAAAACAATTAAAGCAACCGCAGCCGCGTTGCCTTGGTTTGCTCGTGTCTGACTCCGCCTGAGCCCTCTGTGGTCCCTCACATTTGCTTTCTCTTTCTCCACAGAATGCGATGAACTTGCCGCCCGACAAAGCCCGGCTACTGCGGCAGTACGACAACGAGAAGAAGTGGGAGCTCATCTGTGACCAGGTAGGGGTGGCCAGGAGGGATTTTGGCAGACATCCCGTTGAGAGCATGAACTGGGTTTCGCCAGCAGCAACCCCGGGCTTAGAAAGGGACCTTGCAGAGGACACGTGTTTGGATTCAAACGCTCATTTCTTTGGCCTTAGGCACCGTTATTGGTACCAACTCCTAGAAGCCTTGTAACAAGAATTCCCTTTTTTGCCACAAAGCGGTATTTCTTCCCCTTCTGATGTTACCATCACCCCTGTGCCTGTTCCCTCTGGGTGGTGAATGCCGCTCATTTTGCCTAGCACGGACTGGAGGAGACTGACCTTCGGTCACCTCTTGGTGGGTGCTTTTGAGTTTGGTCCATCTTGACCTGCGTAACACGAAGGAATGGTCTCGATCCAGCGGGTATTTGGCTTTCCACGCCACAAGCCATTGTCGCAGTCGCTGTCGCCTTCAGGGAGGTGCGATGGTGGTACAGCCTGAACTCCTCTTCGCCTCCAGAGGCTGAGCAACCACCCCGGGTTGAGCAGCACCATACGCTGAGGCATCGTGTGTGTATGAGCTCCGCTGCGGCGTGCCGACTTGGCAGCAATCCGGAACAATTAACAGGTTGGCTCTGCCATGGCAAATGAACAGAAACGGCATCATGGCGAGAAAGTGAAGCGTGCGAAAGGTGGGGGGTGCATTTGTGAGCCAACAGCAATATCAGGTTCTGCCATAAACTTCAAAAGTAATCGCTAATGAAAATAATTGATCCAGGGCTGAGAACGTAGGATGTTTCCTTGCAATGTAAACACAGCGGTACCAGGATGAGCATTTGGCAGGAGGTACAGTCACGCTGTGAGGTCAGGAACATTTTAATAAACAGATTTGTGGGACGTTTCCTATTTAGCTATTACAGTGACGGGGCCTCTGATAAAATGCAACTACTTTAAAGTGAAGCTGCTTTTTTCCATGAGTTTTCGGTGCACAAAACCTGAAGCATTGAGCTATTTAAAGTTTCGGTTTAGTGAGACACTGAACAAATTGCTTAATCTTCTGTAAGTGATAGGTTTCGTGGACGTTTGCTTAGAGCATGCACGCTCAGAGCGTGGACGTATACGCGTGAGCTTTGTGCTGGCGTCTGCGTGCTGGGTTTGCAGCGAGTTGGCAGCGGGGCAGGCAGAAGCAGTTAGATCACAGCCTGGATGTGCAAACTCCCACCTCGGAGCGGATCCGCCCTTCAGCTGCCGCTGATTCACTCCTGAACTCTACAGCAAGATCGGGAGGGATGAGCAGATGGGAGCGCAGGGAAGGAAATTTGCAATCCGGAGTAATCGCGTATCTTTAATAGCTCCTTGCACAACACCGAGTCCGCCCCCGGGTTGGGATGAGTCTGCTTCCCGCTGCTTGGAGAGGGTAGGCAGGGCAGCGGCGCAGGACTGCTGTAACCAGCTCTGCGAGGATCCCGAAGGGGACGGGAGGGGACCGCGTGCCACCCTTCCAGGGTCCTGGCGTCCCCGGTGGGCGCTTGCCAGCCGCTGTAAATTAGAGCAGCGTGAAGCAGGCGTCTGTAAAAGCACCCTGATACAGCATATGGGGTGTGAAATATTTATATCTGTCCGCATTGTTGTGGTGCGTGGCTAAAAGTACTTCCAGGAATAGATTTTGTACAGAACATATGTATGTAGTGTGGATGCAAAATCTGAGAGCTATTTTCTATTGGTATCACCCGTTACACCATTTTCACCTATTTTTGCTTAGCGAAGGACCGAGGATGTAAATTAATATAACAGCTTGAGGGAATTAACTCTCGCCCTCCTGTGCTGGTTTTCAACTTATGTCTGAAAGGAAGAAGCATCCAGAGGTTGCTCTTAAATGTTTTATAAATAGCCTGTAAGGGAGAGCCTGGTCATTTGTCTGTGAAATATTTTGAGAATATTAGGGGAGAGTGTTCGGCTCCCAAAAGGAACTTTTGCTTTTGCAGAAGTGAGATTAATGAAAGTGGGGAGCCACCAGTCTCATGATGATGATGCTGATGCTGATAATGATAATAATGCTGATAATGATAATAATAATAATGCTGGAATAATAATAATGCTGGAATAATAATAATGCTGGAATAATAATAATGCTGGAATAATAATAATGCTATAATAATAACAATAATGCTATAACAATAATAATAATGCTATAATAATAATAATAATCATCATCATCATCATCATCATCTGCTGTGAATATATCCATGCCCATTCTAGTGCATCACAGTAAGGCCTGCTGGGCTGGTTTTGGGGGACTCATCCTGTGTGGTATTTTCAGTTCCTTTGTCTCTAAACCTTGCAAGTCATCTAGGCGTTGCTGCTGCTGCCCTGAAAGCTTGCTCCCTCCCTCTCTGGCATAGCGTACAGGGAGGAGAAAAAGAGCAAAGCCAGTATTCCTGTTGCCCATCCTGGAGAGGGCCAAGCGATGGGTCAGCTGGGGGATGAGCGTTGGGAAGGATCTGGGCAGGGAAGAAGGATGCAGTTTCTTGGTGTGGTGGGCCACCCCTTTGGACTACTCTAGGCCTCTCTATCCAGCTGTGTGCCATGAGGTGTTACGGAGGGGACATGGATGTTGAGGGGGGAGAGGTTGGGGACATCTTACAAAGTTCTTCATTGCCCTCTAATGGCAAATTGTGGAAGGGGCATCACCGTGTCCTCACCTTTGGAGACACTGGAGGTGTGGGGGGGCAATAAGGAATTAAGAGACCTAAGATGAAAGTCGTGCGATTTACATCCAAAATACCCTCACTGAGATGTTTGTAGAACTCTCTCCCTTTCCTGACAAAGCTCCTCATGAAGGCAGGTGCCGGCTGTTTTGGAGGCTGGTGGCCAGCGTGGAGCTCGCCGGGGTGGCGGTGAGTTTCTCCACAGCTTCCTGGGTGGGAGTCCTGTGCCACCCCTCGGCTTGGCTTCCAGGGGGGCTTGGGCCCCTCCACGCCTGTGTCAGGGGTAATTACACCCAAAACAAGGGCACGTGTGGTGCGTTGGCGGGGCACCACGTTCTGCTGTAGGGTTTATTTGTGACCGGTCCCCGAGTCCTTTCTGGGTTCTTCCTGGGTGAGTCCTGTGCCACCCCTCGGCTTGGCTTCCAGGGGGGGCTTGGGCCCCTCCACGCCTGTGTCAGGGGTAATTACACCCAAAACAAGGGCACGTGTGGTGCGTTGGCGGGGCACCACGTTCTGCTGTAGGGTTTATTTGTGACCGGTCCCCGAGTCCTTTCTGGGTTAAACCCTGGCTCTGCCCACGGGCAGGGTGGCCTTCTCCCAGGAGGGGAGGGCAACCTGGGCTCGCTGCCCGGCCGAGCACCGTGGTGGAGAGGGAGCCCAAGTGCAGAAATCTGGTGGTGTGAGATTAGGCTATCAAAAATAGACGGCGTTCAGGATAGCCTGGGGGAGGATAACATCTGAAACCGCAGAGGGGCCGTCAGGCTTGTGTTCAGTTACACTTGGGTTCAGCAAGCGTTGGCTGTAGCGGGTCGATCCTTCTCTAAATGAGGCAAAAACGTTCATCACCGAGCTCTCTGTATCGCAAAAGAGGTCGGTGCACGCTAGCGTGTGCTAGCCACCTGCATGCCCTTTAAGCCCGGCTTGCTTCTGCACCCCTTCCTCCTCTGCCGCTGTTCATCAGGCTCTGCAGAGGGAAGAAGGCACCCAGCCTTCCCCTCCGTAAACCAGGTCTGGGGAGAGGCAGGTTCTTCATATTATTTTTATTTTTGGTTTTTGTGAGATTGTGCACTGTGGACTGGTTGAGAGCATAACCGCACAGAGCCACGGTGGTCCATGCCCACTGTTTTAAAGTCCAGGAGCACTGGGGAGTGCTGACAAATATCTAGGTGTACTTTGGATTCGGGCTGGGGGTTGCCTTAAAGTCAGCCATCCTGCCCGTGGGTCTTGGGTGGCCAGCTGATGAAGAAGGGGGACAGACGGTGCCTGCCGGGTGGGAGGGAGTGAGGATCGGGGTTTGCGGGGATGCTGTGCTGTTGGTTGTTTGACACAAGTATCTCAGGTGAGCCCCACACCTCTCCTCAGGAGTGTGATGAAGGGATGGTGATTGAAAAGTGGCACCTCACGCTGCGTCTTGCCATATGGTACTGTTAACCCGTTCGCAGCAGAGATCTGCATTTTTTTGACAGCGTTCAACCAAGCATTTTGCGTATCTTTGCACATGCTGCAGTAGCCATTTACAGCTCCGTTTTGAGAGGCTTTGCATAAAAAAAATGTTTGTATACCATAGAATCTCCCCTGTTGTGGGTAGAATACAAGCTAGAAAATCCAGTGTCCCATTGAACTCGGGAGCAGTTGGACGGTAGAGGTGCTGGCCCTGCGAGAGGTGGCTCGCTGGAGACCAGGCAGGGAGCGATGAAGCAGCCGAGGTACCCGTCCGGGGCGTGAGGGGTGCGAGGTTCGGCGGGGCTGGGCAGGGGTTGGCATCCCCGAGCGTCTGCGGCTCTGCACCTCTTGGCCAGGTCCCTTGCGGAAGCGTTGGTTGACCTGGTTTTGCAGAAAATTCACGGCGGTGGGAAAGGATCCCTCTGACCCCCTCGTTAGCGCAGAGATGAACAGTTGCTGTCGTTTCATTCCATAATAAGATGTATAAAGTGAGGTACTGTCCTGCTGGCTGGATTGCTGGGGCCAGGATCGAGCCGCCCTCCAGGTCTGTGCGGGATGGGGGACGGGTGCTGGAAGTGTCCATCGCGTTTACCACGTGTTTGTGCCTTGGGAGTGAGAAGATTCCGGTCTCCAGCCCTGCTCACCCACTGCCTTTCACTGGCGTTCACCACCCAGGTGCTTTATGCATTCCCAGCAGTTACCTGCTGCCTGCCTGCTGGGGCTTCTGGCGAGCCTGGGTGCCCGCTCGGATGCACTGTGTGCTTGCCTATGTGTATATATATATATGCCTAGATGTATATATATGTTCATATAATGTATATGAACCCTAAGAATGAAACAAGTTACCAAAGGTAATAATAATAACAACAACAACAACAACAACATA